CCTGCTGAAAAGTGACTGAAGGCAAAAATTTCTGATGGGACCACTGCTGTCAGCCCTAGTAGGAGCGTAGGGACAAACACTGAAATGTGTTTTTGAACTATCAACAAAGACTTGCCTGGGAGCCTGAGTGAGGCCTGATGAAGAAAGACGCTATCACCTCCTGCTTATTAATATCATTTTTAAATTTAACTTCCTATGTATCACTGATAATTATGGAATGGCTTGAATGGACAACACAGAGCTAGAGTTTAGCTGAAGGCCAGGCCCTGCCTTGCTATCACAGGGTTTTGGTAAGGTGAGATAACAGGAAAGAGCTCAAGTGAGAAACAGTCTTTGGAAGTCTTTACTAACAGATTTTTGGAAACAGAGGTACCACAAGAGGGGGAAAAATGAAAATTAAGATAGATCTGGAAATAGATCATATAATACAATCTTATTTTCTCATAAAGTTATAATCTTCTGATAGTCATTTCTTATGGTACTGAAAAGAACAAACTTTGTAATGGAAAAAATGTGGATGTTGAGATCTCACTTTGGCAGGCTATGTTATAGCCTAATTATTTCTTTTTTTTTTTTTTTCCCCTCTCTTCATTTCTTTGTATAGGTGGAAAATGTTCGGTTACTTGATCGTTTATCTTCAAGAAAAGCTGCACTGGGAACCTTGTATTTAACAGCTACCCATGTCATATTTGTGGAGAATGGTTCTGAAACTCGTAAAGAAACCTGGGTATGAATTTTTGGTTTTTTCAGTTAGCTATAAGGGCATGGCACTTTATTGATGGCAATCTGAAAATAACGGGCAAAATAGTTTGAACATAGTGAATTAGTTCATATGGATGCTTTTATAACTTCAGAGTGTGTGAAATTCCAGCCTGGTAATTTTTGAAAATTTTCAATGGATTCTGGATATTGCAACACAGTAAGAGGAGTAAAAGGACCTTCACTGGATGAATACCAGATGTGACTGACCAAGGAACAGCTGCTGTGAACTACAGCATTGCTCCTACCATTCAGGAAGAACTGAGGAGAAATGCTTTGAATGTGAATTACTAGCTTGGCTCAGTCAACTCTTGCCTCCCTCCCTGACTGCTTGTGCTGGATTTGTTGTTTTAATTCTTTTTTTTTTTTTTTTGCATAATGTAGTATTTTGGTATCTGTTTTGATGGATTGATGACATGTGTTGCATGTATGTATATATAGGTACAGATGTAGCTCTGGTGTCTTACCTTTTGAGAGTCTTTTATGTAGCTTAGTTATGAATCCTTTGCCCATTTTTGTACTAATTATTCACTTTGTCCTCTTTTGACCCTGCTATTCCCCTCCTGATGTTTATAGTAATGTTTCATCTCATCTGATGCAGTGTTTAAAATTATAGCAGGACTCCAATGAGTTCTGCCAATGAGGAGGCTCAACACCTTAGCCTTATCTAACTGATGCTGGTTCATCTTTTCACTATGCAGACAGATGAAGAGAGCTCTTTTTCTGACAACCGCTAGCTTACACTAAAGCAAACAAACAAAAAGCTTTGGATAGCATGACCAGGCTAATGTTTGAGCAGCTGAAACACTCCAGAAGCACTTCTTTGTCTGTAGGTGATGTATCAGGTGCTGCTTGAGCCTGAAGCTGGAGATAAGAACAAAACTACAAGAGGAGTGTGGGGATTTTCTGAAAGAGTAGTGTAAGCTACTGTGTCTGCCCTGACACATCATTATAAATAATTATTTTTCTTCCTAAAGATTTTAATCACTTGGCATAATTGTTTTCCATTCCTTCACAGGTTCTTCACAGCCAAATTTCCTCTATTGAGAAGCAGGCCACCACTGCCACTGGTTGCCCATTGCTGATCCGCTGCAAGAACTTCCAGGTCATCCAGCTGGTCATCCCTCAGGAACGAGACTGCCACGACATTTACATATCTCTGATACGTCTGGCACGACCAGGTACGGGAAGGAAACTGGCAGAAAAGTCAATTCTCATCCTGAACAGGGAGAGTATAATGGAAGAAATGTAGCTGTGCATCTTTGTCCTTTACAAGTTAAGAAAAAAGGCCTCATTAGAGATGCATTATGAGAGAAAAGGTCTCTGAGCAGACAAGCATATTAAAATAATCACTTATGGAGCAATGAAGAAAGCACGTTATAACAAGTAGTTCATTCAATAAAGTATGACATGAAATTTTGTTTAAAATAATACTCTAGGGTATAACAGGTCATGAAATATATTATAATGCTATTTTATGTGTAACTGTTGTTTACTGGATGCCTTGTGTAAGTGTGAATTTAGGAAAATACTGACAAGTCTCTAAATCCAGGGAACTTTCACTTTCCTGCTGTGACAAAAAATGTACAATATATCCAGTGGTCATCTAAATCTTCCCTTTCTGTGTTGTGCATAAATTTCTCAAAATCAGTGAAAGGTTTTGCAGCAAGTAGTTGATTTATCACACTGGACTGCTGTGTTTTGTCCTATTATTATCTACAGTTTGAATGTGGCCTTTTTGAATTTCTGAATTCAGATCAAGATCCTTTTGAAACCTTTCTTCTTTTTAATGAAAATCCAAATGTTACATCATAGTCCAACATCTGATCCTCTGCATTGTAGCTGCTGTCCTAAGAACCAACTGACAAGGCTTCTGGATTGTTTGTTTTAAATTACAATTGTAGAAATGCAACACCAAACTCTGTCCTTTACCATTATTTTACCAGTACACAAAGAAAATGTCTACCACAGTCTGTACGAAGTTGACAACATTAGCTTTCATTTTTATTGTGCTAGGAGAACACCAATTTTATCTACTATGTGTGTCTGGGAAATCATGCAGTCAGCCAGCACAGCTACTGAACTTTACAAAGTACCTTCTATAATTAGGACTGTAGTAGTAGCAATACGCAACTGCAGCAGATGTAACTTCATATGCTAGGTGATGCAAGATGAAAGTAATCAGAGAAATTTAAAAACAGTGAGACAAATTCAGTCCGTGGTTTTGCTGATGTAAATCTGGATTAATTCCATGGACCTCAGCTGCAAGTATGTGTTCGTGCATGTCGGAAGGAAAGTGATTCTGTACTGGTCCTTCGCTGGAGCCAGGAGGAGGTGTGCATACTGCTATGCACCAGAACAGGACACTTCGATACAGGCATACAGAATGACGAAGGGAAAAATAGCCGTGGACCCTGAATACAAGTTCAATGGCAGACTGCAATGGACAAGAAAGTTTGAATGAAGAAGATGCAATAAGAGCACTGTAGAATCAGCTCTTTGTATAGATCAGCTGCACAGCAGTTCTCCTTCTCCAGCAAACTACACGATCTTCATGTGAGACAGGATAAAATATTGCTTACTTAAAATTAGAAGGTTCCAATTGCAAGTTGAGACAGATGTACCCCAACAGTGTTCTGCTGTGTCATTTTGTCTGGGCGCGAAGCTATACTTTTCTTTAGGTAATGGAGTTACTCAGCATTACAAGGTATGCATTACTGCATGAGGAGAAAATTGGACTCATTCAGGCTCTGGTTTTGATTCTGTCTGTTCTTATCATTCATTTCACCATAGGGGAACATGAGTGAAGCCCATGTTGCGTACTGGCTTAATATATTCTGTGCTATCTGATATCCTAGTTATACTAAAGAAGCAAATGTGTTTGAGTTTGTTCTTGCTAGTTGTTAATAGCATTCTAGTAAGGTCAAGCTGTCAGCCGAATTTGGCTGTTTTGCTTAATTAAGCCATTTTGCGAAACAAACTGGCCATAAGAGTTATTACAGGTGTAATAGCAGGATTGCAGATGCCTATGGCAAAATAACTGTGAAAAATGAGAGAAGGTCTTATAAGTACTGGCAAAGAGGTCATAACTGAGCTTTAAGGCACTGACTATTAATTCTTGAACATTTTTTTATCACCTACAGGTACCATCATGTAATAACACTTGTAATGTTAAGGCAGACTTCAGTCATAAATAACCTGGATATATTTTAATAGGTGGATTTTTAAAGACTTCTCATGTGCCTGTGAACAGCAGGTCCAGTTGGAAAGAAAATCCATGTGCTTCTGACAACCAAGCAGTGAAAACAAGAGCTCAGATTGCTACCAAAAGCACCTGATTGAAAAGAGCTCAGATTGGATTTATGGATTATGCTAAAACTTTGTTAGCAGATGAGAAATAAACCAGCTTGTCTTCCTAATCTGTGCCATGACAGATGTTTGAAATCAGAGAATATAGAAAGTTTAAACTATCAGGCAGTGTGCAAATCATTCTTTTCTTTCTCCTTACTCATGACTTTGTTGACTTTCAGTACTTTCCTGACAGAGTTAATATGAAGTTTTCTTTCTTTATGTTCATAATTTTGTATGTGTGTTTACAATCAATTGAAAGAAATCTTAAAAAGCAAAATATAACTTAAATTAAAACTTTAGAATACATAATCAAAATAAAAGTAAAGATTTTCTACAGAAAAACTTGGAAGTCTTATTATTAGTAGTATCGTAGTTGTTTTGTGGTTATTATTTTTATAGCTATAAGTTCCTTACTGGAGTATTCTAAGGCTCTGCTTATTTGGTATATATTATTAGAAAAGAAAGGATAGCATTTAAATTTACTGATCTTGTTAAAATTATATTGTGGAGCAAGTGTATCAGTGGAGAACTATGAAATCAGAGAGGACTCAGCTTGTGTTTTACCTTACTTCAGTTCTGAAGTTAAAGTTAAAAACCTGTCGGTCAGAAAGTTTTAAGGAACTTAGAGCAACAGGACGAAACATACCCTCATGACATAACAATATCTTAAGTATGAATGAGAATGTTAATTTCAAGCTATATGCTGAATAGTTACTCATGTCAGTGACACTTGGCATTTAATGGTGATTTTGCCTCTCTGCCAGTGGTCGCCAGGATTAAGACACTCATTAGCATAAATACAGCTATACTCCTAAAAAAAGTTAAAAACTCCAGCACCAGCGAAGTTTCTTATATGGTCCCTGCCCAAGAGTGACAGGTGGCATAGCTACTTAAATGATTTCATGGTCATGATAAAACAATTGATGTAACATATGCTATTTTTATGCTATTACAACATCTGTATCTCAAATGCCTCTGCTAATAATTCAAGGACAGCATTTTGCAGTGCACAAAACTAAGATTTCATTGAATCTATTAGAAACGTCCCTATTTAGGGACAAAGACTTCTGAGTTAGTTCATTTTTGGAAGTTTGTGCTACATGGTACATTGTTCAGATCTTTTGTCTTTGCCACAGGACAGATGTTAATAAAGGGACTCCTAAGCTACTTCTGGCCAGCAAATTCTTTTGAAGAACAAGTGCTTATTCTGGCACTGACTGCAGTTTTCTTTGGATGAAAACATATTATCACTGACATCTTGTCTTTGTGCTGGGGAAGGCTTTTACAATTCAGTAGAGAAGAGGTCTAGCAGAACAGTATATTTTAAGTAGCACTACTACTAGGGCACATATATTGCCACATATACAAACAAAAAAAACCCACAGTACTTTCACAGTGTACTTGAAAATAGTTATAAACCTGGTTATGTGCTTTTGTATAGCAAAGCATACTATTTTAAAAGAAACTACATAAAGGACAATACCAAGGTTTTGAAGCATGATTTCAGGATGAGAAATCTGAAGTGATTTGTTTGCTTATTTTTTTTCAGTGAAATACGAAGAGCTGTATTGTTTCTCATTCAATCCAAAATTAGATAAAGAAGAACGAGAACAAGGCTGGAAGCTTGTGGACCTTAATGAAGAATATAATCGGATGGGTATTCCAAACAACTATTGGCAGATTAGTGATGTAAACAGAGACTACGGAGTAAGTTGTGTTTTTTTGTTACAGAGGCTGTCTGTAAAGTAAATCAGCAGTCTGACTGTGGACTACTGTAGTGCTTAGATGCAGGATCCCTTTGCGCTCAGTGCTGTACACACATGTAGTATGGTGCAGTTCTTCCAATCTTTCACATAAAAATGCACATGGAAAGTGACAGAGAAGATGTCTTTTAATTTAACACTTGTGGAAATGAAACACAGAAGACACGTCCACAGTGTTTTAAACTTTAGTGCTTGGCTGCCTGGGGAGAAGTTTAAATCATATCTGATATTGTGTCTGAATGAGTGTTTTCCTGACATGTAGCGTCATATAAAACTACTACACAGTCATTTTAAGAAAAAAATTACTTGAAATAGTGAATTTGGCAAGATTTTTTCCTCACTGGCTATCCTCACAATCCTTTTGAAGCCTGTGATTGACTGTTAGTGTTTTGCACAGTCATCTGACAGGTCATGTATCTTCCTAGCTGCCTGCTGTCCTGTCTAGCTCAGTCTTGTACGGTTGAAGTCCCTATGCCGTTAATTATTCATGAGAAGTAGCCACCAAAGCATTCTTGAAGGAAGTTTGTCCATGCAGTCCGTTGGCTCTGTTGCTGGAGCGTATCCACGTTAAGGAAGCCCTGGGAGGTTCTCAGAGAAGATTGAATGTGCTGTCAGGGCTTGTTTTCTTTTTGTTAACACAAGAGGAAAAAATGTTTGACCTCTTTTACGATAAAATGTAGGAAAAATGGAATCATGAGTAAAACACAGTTCACCACAGCAGCGTCTGTAACCACAAGCCCTTCCTTTTCTTTCTGCTTCGTTACATATTTCTGACTCTTTCAGAACCTAATATCTTTCTGGGCATCCTAATTTCTTTAGTCATCTCAGAAAGTGTCAGGGAGATACTGGGTATGCTTTTGACCCCAGCCAGAATGCCACAGGCAGTATCAGGAAAAGGAAGTTAGACCAGGACCCCATTTGTGGTTCCCTTTGTCTCCAGAGGAACCTCTGGGCTTTTTTGCAGGCTCATTCAGTTCCTTTCAGCAGTGGTAGGTATTGTCAGGGGTGCTTGCCTTTCATTATCCTCATTTCATATGGATTAATTTATTTTCTCCAAGTCCCTACTTTTGTCATTTTTATTATTATCTGATTTGCTGGAAAATTTGGCTCTATAGTCCCCTCCCATTATAACAGAGGAGATGTTTGAGACCTTCACCTGCTCCCATCCTTACTTCCAAATTCTGCTACAGATGAAACTGCAGTTGTAAATACAACCTTGCTGTACATAATGATGAATCGTTCCTGGTACGAATGTATGTTATACCTGTCTGTTCCCAACAAGGCACGAATTAACATTTTGAAATAAAGCCCTTCAACCCTTCTGCTTCAGTTTTGCCACCTGTAAGTTAAAATTAATACTTTCCAGCTTCAAAAGACTGTTTTGAGGAATGCCAGTGATTTGTATACAATGATGATGGAATATTCCGAGTTCCCTGGAATTTTGTTTTTGCTGTGGAGATCACTAATGTTGCTTGTATTATGTAGATCAAATAAGCAGAGTTTCCTTTCACAGGTCTGTGACTCCTATCCTACAGAAGTGTATGTACCAAAGTCTGCAACTGCACACATCATAGTGGGGAGCTCTAAATTTCGGAGCCGACGGCGTTTCCCAGCTCTTTCCTACTACTGCAAGAATAACAACGTAAGTGTGAAATTGTAGAATTTAAGGTTTTGCTTATTTTGGCCTTGCTTTCATAATTCTTCTAGTAAGCTTTCACAAGAAGAAGTCAGTTTATTAAAAAATTAAAAGATGGTTAGTGTAATCTGGTTAGTGTGGTTTGTGCATAAAACCCCCACTTCATCATCCAGCTAACACAAAGAAATGTGATGCCTGTATCGCAAGGAAGTGGAGTAGTACAAGAGGTCTGAAATATGGTTGGCAGAAGAGTGAAGGCCGTTAGCAAGCATCTTAGCAGGTGATTGGGAGGAGAATAGAGCAATTTAGGATCTAGTAGCCACAGCCCGAGAGCAAGTTGAGGAGGAGAAAACCTATACTTGTAGCAATTAGAGAATCAGGAGTAGCCTTTCAAGAAAAGATGTGTGAACAGACCCAAAAAGGATGGATGAAAGAGCTACTATTTTGGCTGAGCAGTGTGCCATGACTTTGTTGAAGAGACTCTCCTTGTCTGTAAGAGCAAGGAGTGCCACCTTCTCCTCTCCATGACAGGTATTCTCAGGACTGAGTGAGAACTGCCTCAGTTGTCTATAACCATTTTGGAAAAACCCCGTACCTAGACTATTTGCATTTCTGTTTCTGGCAGCTGAGGTGAAGAAGACCCTTGGACTGAAGGATCCCATGGACTGGGTGTTTTTACATTTATGCCCCAGCCCCCTAAAGACTGGCTTAGCTCATCTGTCATTGCCCATTAGGAGAATGGTGTCCCCTTTGTACTTACAAAGGATCTGTGTGTCTAATATCTCCTTCTGTTTCAGTCCCAGATGGGCAACTGCATCAAGAGGTCTTCCCTAGTGCTGGGTGATGGCCAGGATTTCCCAAGAGACAGAGCTGGTTAGTGTGGGATTACAGTGCACCTGTAGCATTTGCCACGCAGGGTGGGAGATATTTCCGTAGGATGTCACAAGCAGGAATCATAAGCTACAGTCCCCATGGAAGAGAGATAGGGGTCACTTATCTTCACAGTGACCCCTATCGTAGGTTTAAGCTTCAGAAGGAAGGAATGAGACATTATTTTGACTCCTTCTTTACCCCTTATTTCATCAGAATTCTGCTTGCATAAAGATCTAAGAATTTGACAACAAAACAGGAGGATAGGAAGATTTAAATAGTAAATAAAGTCTCTGCATAAATTGCATATTATCTTTAATATTTCATTAGGGACAAATTTTTCAAAGTTAATCACTTTGCATAATCAACTAAGTCCAAATATAGAGATCTAGGATTCAAAACCCTTGGACATTTCCAAATCTCAGTGAAAGAAAAGGTCTCAGGGATCAGCTAGATTCCACTATATAGTCATCCAGTTCGATGAGTTTCATGGTTTCAGCCTGAATGTTTTTCCTGTTGTGACTGGAGTTCAGGTTAAGGTTCAGACCACCAGGATCCGAAGTACTGCATTTGCTTCTGGATTCTTCATGGTTCGAAGGGCTAAAAAAAGGGTTGGGTATGTTGGAGGAAATACCTCCTTGTGAGTTTGGAGGTTAGCAGGAGTTGACAGCTAATAGAGTACTGGGCAGGAGTGGGGTAATATTCGTGATGGTAGACATCGAACAGCTATGGTAACAGCAGGTTGGGAAGAGGTCTGCTGCATGCAGGGGAGACAGGTGCCCCTCATTCAGTCTTTCAGATCCAGAGCTTTCCCATAGCTCTTTGGTGCTGACAAATTCAATGATAATGTGACACCTTACTCTGGCTCTTACAGGATCTGTGTTCATGTGATAAGATCCGACTCTGGAACCATCTGTTCAGCCTGTACAATAGAAAAACATGACCTCATCTCTTGCCCTACTCTTAAACGTAGCCCAAGAATTGTTATGGACATATGTGCTCATCCTAAGCAATTGGCCTGGGTCAGTAGGAGGTGATCTCTTCATGGATATCGTGGGTAATGATACCCACTTCTGATATTAAGTGGTCACTATGTCAGTTTATCTTCCTAGTTTTGCAGTACCAGCAGTGCAGCTGTTTCTTAAGCTGGGGCTAAACATTATCTTAACCCCAAGCCTAACTTGACAGACAAGCCATTCTCTCATACTGGTGCCATCACATACCTTAGCCCTTTGGGCCCCCAGGATGACATAATGTAATGGGCTCCAGCCCATACTTCCCTAAATCCCAGCCTTCATCCACAACCCTAACTTCAACCTTAACCTTGAATTCTCTATCTGCCTTGTGCACGGTACACTGTGGATGAGAAAGAAATGTCTTCTCTCTATTAAAATGGCAGGTTGTGGACACATGAGTATGTACCTTTTACTTCATGCAAAGGAGGCATAATCATATATTAAATCACTGGAATGTGCACTGACCAGCAGGCAAGACTCTAGATAACTAATAATGTTTGCAAAAAACTATTAATAAAGTATGAATAGGCTCATACACAATTCAAGGTTTCTATATTAAAGATCCATGTTTTACTGACTACTGATACTTCAAAGACTTGGCTGAAAATGAGCATGTCCTTTTTCACACTAATAAATAATTGCAGGGCAGTCTGCATGGGTCACGGCCTTCAGCGGGCATATTCTCTCCATGCTTAAGTTCAGTTCTTAGAAAGTGCATGCTTTAGTCCCTTGCCTTCTACAAATCTAGGTGCACTCTGTCTAGCAGAAATAAAAACCTCCCTGCCCACCCATTTCACATTCTGTTCCGTCTTTCCCAGTTTCATGTGGCAGTCTGATCCTGGTGGGTCTGTGAAGAAAATTTCTTGCCTTCTTCAATAGCATTGATTAATAAATGTACTCCAGGAGTCAGGCTGCCTGACCCATTTCCCATGCAGTAAGGTCTTTCTCCAGGAGCAGTGCTAAAAATACACCACCATCAGTGATCTAGCTGCATGTTACATATTTTTGTTTCCTGGACTCATGGTGTGAGACTGTTTAGTAAAGCATGCATTGGCATAAGCTGGGTGTAATCAGTATCATAACTGGTAAGTGTAAGTGACAGTGCAAAAAGACTCGCTCTTTATGTTGTATCAGTGTTCTTGTGATTGCAGTGTTGTACTCATCATCCTCTAGAGACCACCTTTCAGGACTTATTTCACATTAGGCAAATACTCTATTTAAAATAGTTGTAGAACTTGGATTCAAGACTAGACTTAGGCTGATGGGGTTATATTGTTTTAATATTTCTCTGCCTTTTTAAAAAGCAGGTATTTACTAACTTGTAATTCATTTTACCATTCTGCTTTTCCCACATAACTTACACCTATATGAACATCTAACGAGCTGCTTTGATAAATGCTTCTGCATGCTAAATAATTTCTGCTTAATAACTATGTTGATTTTTTTGTTTGTCTGTTTTTCTGCAGGCCTCCATATGTAGAAGCAGCCAGCCTTTATCCGGCTTTAGCGCTCGATGCCTTGAGGATGAACAGATGCTCCAGGCCATTAGAAAAGCAAATCCAGGAAGTGATTTCATATATGTTGTTGACACTCGGCCCAAAGTAAGTACATTAAATTTCTTGCACATAGCAAGACTGAATCTGGGCTATATCCATTAAGAAAGATGCACAGCCTAAGTGACTGATCATACTTCTGATCTTAGTTGCACCTGTGTAACTCCACAGTAAATCAGGATTTATCAGGGGAATATTAACTGTGAACCTTGCCCACATTTTTATTTCAGATAATTTTTTTCTTTACACTGAGCTTTTCTTATTTTTCTTAATTTGCTTATTTTTGTTCTTAACAAAATGTTAAGACATAGAAAAATTAATAATTTGTAATAGTACCTGTTTCCACACACAGATCATCTATCAGTAACTATATCGCCGATGAGACTAGCAAAAAATAATTCCCATTATAAAACTGTATTTACAGTTGTTTGTAATGTTGCAAACCTCTACCTGCTTATACTAAAATTTTCCATGCAAGATTTTTCCTGCAAGTGGGAAAACTTCAACAACCTACACATAAGGCTAAAGAAAGACCACTTACTGAGGTTACAAGAATTGAGGAGACCTTCTTTGAATATCTCCAGCACTTTTGGGCTTTTAAGAGAGAATCTGAAATATGGTAAATCGTGATCTCAGAAAAAATAATGCTGTGCAGAAACACAGAAACTCAGTAATGATCTAGAAGAGGTTGGAAGCTAAAAAAAACTGTGTCCGAACTGGCATGCTAACAAATAGCTCAAGGAGATGAGGACTAGATAGGCTTCAGTGTCCGGAGCTGGGAGCAGGGATATGTTCTTTCTTACACTACCAGTAGCTTCCCTGTCAAAGTTAACAAAGCACTGGAAGCAAAGAAACCAAAGGGGCAAATCTCCACAAAGTCTCTAGTAGACATAGGACGAGCTATAGCACAGGAAAGGAAAAACAAGAGCAAAGGCTTGAGGAAAAGAAACAAGGAGAGATCAGGAGATAGAGCCTGAAAGGGGAAGGTGGGTAAAGCTGAGAAACATGAGGAATGGAGTGAGGAGGGGCAAACCTGGCAGAGCTGGAGCAGAAATGAGAACCGTGTCTGGCTGGTGATTCACTGAAGACCTAGGGGCTGGTGGCAAAGTGCTAAGCGCTCACAGCTGTAATGAGAGGCAGTAGCCAGAAAAGCAGAGCTTGGCATGCCTCATTGCACTTTGTAATTTGGTAATGACTTTGACTTTGTTTCCTCTTTTTTATTGGGAAAACAAGGATGGTACTGCCTTACTTGTGGTCCTGAAGCAAGTGAATCACAATGAGCACTAGGAAAGGACAGGTACCACTGTTTTTAGATGGGAAGTACAGACCTAGCTGCCTAAATAATGCTTGTTTAACAGTTTTCTATATGTAATAATAGCTACAGCATAATGTATCCTGGCTGATGATATTGGCACTCTTCCCTAAGGAAGGAGGTTGCTCACTGATGGGATTTATTACTAATGGCTTACTGACTTGGCTATTAATAATGTTTTACAAGGTATTAACAGGAAGGTCCCATCCTGTAAACTTTTCTGGTAAATGACTTCGGTGAGACACCTCCTGTGTGCAGTGAAAAAAGCCTGTACTTTAAGTGGAGAGTGTGAAATTGGCTTGCCCGGCCATGAATGATGGCATATTTCCAGCAACACTGCCTTCTTCAGGAGACAGTCAGGAGATGAAGACTGTTTGTTTTCATTTAACTTCTCAGGAAAGAAAGGTTTTGATGTAAAGAAATTTGTGTACACAGATTCCTGCTTCTCTCTGCCCTGCAAGAATGGACTTATTTAATGAAGCTCCTGTGAACCCAGGTGCCAAATACAGCCTTGTTACAGTTTTGCACCTCTTAATGCACATATAAATCTAGAGCATGTAGGAAGTAACAGGTATCACTGAAAGCTGTTCCTGGCATTCCGCAGGGAACCTTTAACAAATGTAAAGGTAAGATACTGAGTCTAGTGCAAGGTTTCCCATTGCTCTAGGAAGCTAAAAAGCTACCTGCCTCTTCTCATCAGAACTGGTTCCTTGCAAAGATTATGAATATTGATGGACCCTTCAGTTCAGCATTCCCAACTGCTCTTCATATGCTGTTCCTCGTTGCACTTGGTAATCTTCAAGACAAAAGATTTGGCTGGGGAAGAAACCTTTGTTTCCACTTCATTTAAGTATACCAGGATGACCATATGCAGAACTTTACTTAGGCTACTGTCTTTCTTCATTTTCTCCTTCCTCTATGTGTTTACAGAAGCTATCATAAACTTACTGTTTATGAGTAAAACAAATTAGTTCTATAACTCTTTATAACAAGACAGGACTCGATTATCCTCTACATTAAAGAAGATGCCAGGAAATCTGGCAAGTGAGGTCTATTCCCTTTAGAGGTTGTATCCTCATGTTCACTGAGATTAAGTGAGGACAGGCACAATTTAGAGAGCTTTACAACAACTACTTTAAGAGCAACAGATGGAATTTTGGTAGGTGATGTGGAAAACTTGTTAGTAAATATTGTGGCAGCTGCAAAGTTTGGCAACTGACAATATTTAAAATAAATGAGTGTCAGAAAGCTTTGCAAATTTAACCTTACATTTATTTACTTTTAAAGAGGGCTATTTTAGATTGTCTTTTAAGAAAAGATTTCTGGGATAAAATCGCTCGGCTGTAGAGACAGTTAATAGCATTTATTGTACTGAGGATTAGGTCAGTTAGGGGCTAGATGTTTTTCATTTAGGGTTTCAGGGGTTTGTGGTGGCTTAAACTCACATGTATAGATCTTTCTTCCCAAAGCTATATGCTATTGCAGAGAGAAACTGCTTCATTTTGTTTATACTAGAACACTGATGTCTACTTCAAAAGAGAAAGATTAGGATTCAGCAGATAATTTGTATCTTTCTAGCAAGTCACACTGAGGACTCTGTCCTTAAATGACATGCTGTTCACAGGCTGTATCTTTTTTTTTATTGTTCATTGATAGTCAAAACATCAGCAGACTGCTGGTTGATAGATAAGATTAATCTTTTTTGCCTGTGCTTTTTCCTGAATTGCATAATACAAGTTGAAAGAAGTTTTACACAAGACTTGAGTAAATGAAAAATGCTTCTTTTCTGCTTAGGTTCCTATCTTAGAGTATGGTTCCTTCTGTTGTATCATGAAATTCATTCAATATTTCAGTTCCTAATGGTGGTCCACAAATGTAACTATGTATTCCTATTGCCAAGTTCTGCTCATGGGAATGGATGCGCTAGAAAGCGTGAAGACGAGAAAAAAACCCTATCTCTACGTACTAAACTGGGCAGCACCAAAGATTTGAAAAGTGGTCTCATCTGTTTTCTTATGCATCTAAAATGAAATTACAGTGGCATAAAAAGCTTTTAGTCTTTAGCTGTTCCCTTTGAAAGTTAAGAGGTCAAATTTGGTCCATGGAAAACTATTTTGACATATGACGTAAAAAAGCTAGACCTGTTCATCTTAGCTGGAGGTAAGTTGCCAGCAAAAAATCAATCCTACTCAATTGCATGCATTAAGCTCCAAAATAAAACTGAATATTGGGAGTATGTGTGTTTGGGGTGGAAGAGATCAGGAAGCAACACCTCCTTGTGTATCCCATGATACCATTAGCTGAGTACTGAAGTATATTATTGTGAGTTTCAGAAGCGACCATAGAAACAGCAAATCAATAGTACTGCCTGCAATACCGGGAAATAAAGTGGAAATGGAGTTAGCTGTATAGCCTCTTGTCCCCTAGGCAATGTCTAAGAGATACTTTGTTTTGATTTTTTATGAGCATTGACTCTCACTGCGATGATGATGATGAGTCACTTTTTGTCCAATTGATGCCCCATAAGGTCTCTCCAAAAGCTCTGTTAGTGCCCTCCAGTCTGGATATGCAATATCCATTGTTATTTAATTCTTAAACCTCTCCCAAGCAGAAGCTGTTAGTTGTGCTTGGAGGCATGGAGGTTCTGCCATGTGGGCTGCTTTGTTGCTCCTGGGGCCTTCATATTTCTTGGGAAGTTCAAAGGCTCCCCAGCCTTAACAGCGTGCGTTTCACAGGAGAGCCGGGACTTTATGCAAAAAGATGATTCTTTCTATTGGACAGTGAAATTTTGCTATAGGAAGTGCAAAAAGATAGATAGGGCAGTAAAGTAAAAGTACTTAATTTCTATCAGCTCTAGTTTTTAGCCAGAGAGCAAAATTTGGCATAAGGGGTTTGGCAGATATTTTTCTTTTCCCCCAAGAATCTCAAGGCAGGGGGGAAATAAGCATTAAAAAAACCCTTAATTTGACGCTTGGGAAAACTGACCTAAATAAGTATTTAGTGACTTTCCCATGCCAGGAAGCAAGTAACAGATTGAAAGACAAAACTTCAGCTTCCAGTTGAATGTATTTTTGCTGAAGCACAGCAAAATATTTGATAGCGCTGCATTGTAGATGAAAATATTTGTGGTAATTTTGTAAATTCAAATCTTTTGTGGTCTTACACAACTAAAGCCAAGATACTATAAACTTAGGAAAAACTACTCCAACTCTCTCTTCATTATTCTAAGCTTCAAAGAGGGCAGCTGTATCAGCTTTTGGATGATTTGAGCAGTAAAACACAGTAACTTGGGCAACAGTACAGTGTACATATGCTGTGAAACAGCGGCATGGCAGATAAGACACTGCCACCTCCTGGGTATGTTCTGCTAGCAAACACAACGCTGATCAAAAATAAAATCAGAATCGACTTAAAACCAAATTGAAACCTTTACGCTCTTGCAGAGGAGCCCTACGTAAGCTGTGGGAGTTTGCGTGTAACCTCACTAATGAAGCTTCACTTGAAGTGCATGACAAAGAGGTCAGAGCCTCAGCAGCCCAGTGCCCTGCAATAGGCTGTAACCAGATCCCTGATTCCTAACCTGTCGTGTTGACACTGTGATATTTATCCCTGACTTAAATCACTCTGATTTATTGCAGTAGACAAAAAAGCTTTGTTTTGAAAAGAATCTGCTTGCTACTGGTTTTCATCCAGTATTCCCTACTTTTTTCAGCTCAATGCAATGGCAAACAGAGCAGCAGGGAAGGGATACGAAAATGAAGACAACTACTCCAATATCAAGTTTCAATTCATAGGCATTGAGAATATCCATGTCATGAGAAATAGTCTGCAGAAAATGCTTGAAGGTAATACTCTTCTTTATTGAATACTAGAGGAAAGATTTGATCCTTCCGTCACACAAATCCGGGTAACTGCTCTGAAATCAGCAGCAGTGAAAATGGGTATGGATAGAGCTCTTTGCCTGTTGCAGCTGCATGCAGCTGCCTGCTGGCTAATGGGGCTGGTGCAATGGAGCATTGTTGCAACTAGTGGTGATTTCCAAATTGCGCAAATGCCTTGCTTCATGGGTGAAATCTAGATACCATTTATTTTAATGACAAAATTCCTGTGACTTCAATACACCTCACTTCCGTGTCTTCTTTTGTGGTTTACACTTTGATGGTACAAAGAAAAAAAATCACTTATTGCAGACTGATGCTAGTGGAAAATATAGGATTTTTTTTTAAGCTCATAAAATCTCTGGTTTGATTTTTGTATGTGGCCAATAAAGTAGTTACGCATTTTAGACTGTGAATTATAATAGAAACTTTCTCATGCCCTGTATAGCATGTCACATCAGGTTTATCTATGAAACTCAGAGTCAATGGTTATAACCATTCAGCACCTTCATAATCCCATGGAAATTAATAATAATTGCTTTATAAATACCTATCAGTGTATAAATGAGCACATCTGTACCACCTTTTAATATTTTGAGTACACTACTGTTTAGAGACCTACAGGGAAAAGGGTAAGAATAAATAAGCTGTCCTTAACCCTCAATGTCTTGTTGATTTTCAACAAGCAAATAGTAAAGAGTGCTCATGCCACTCCACAGAGTCTCAGTATTCACTCCATGTATATCATCAACACCTTCTGTCATCTCCTGTGTCAGCTTGGTTTAGGTATTCTTGACTTGATGCTCTGCTCCTGCTCTTCTATTCTTCATCTGTCTCACATCATCTGTATGCAAATGTGAATTTTATGTCTAAGAAGGGCTTACATTTTCCATGACAGGAGAGCTGTACCCTGTTTTCAAATAACAGCAGTTTATGGAAACCAGCAGCGAAGTGTGATGCAGGTAAAACAGGCACTCTCTTCATGACTTATTTTCACTTAATTCCCTGGTCTAAGGGTCTCAGGAAGGCAAATAGAAGGATTTTTAGTTCACTACAAAGTCTTGTTTGGCTAGGGGAGAGGCCGGGTGAATAAACCTGTCCCTTTATTTGTTCAGCTTAAGACCATCAGCATTAAAATAGTAAACAACCAGCCTGGCTGCATGGGACAGTGCTGTGTATTATTTTTGAGCCAAAAGTTTGAGACAGGTCCATGGCCCAAACTGACATGTAACAAGGTGATTTCTAATGCATTTAACCCTTCAGCTTTCTTGGGGGGGCATAACTTCTTAGCATCTATTTTTAAATGAGCCATACACTCAAACCACCTGCTTTTTTCATAGGTTTTATATTTGCTATGTTGCAATCTCATATTTAGCGACCTGGCTCATAAGATCAGAAATTAGAGAAGTGATGTCCATGATTTTAAGTACTTGAGGCTTTTGAATATGTTTTTTTTTTTTTCTAATCTTCTGACTTTCAGTGCACAAGCAGGGCTTTTCTCACATAAGGGGCTGTATAGTTTTTATCTTTTTCCATTTGTACTAGTGTCGCTTCATATGCTTCCCTTGTGGCCTTTAACAGGGTACTTATTACCCGACTTGCGCATACAAAGGGAACCAGAATCAAAAAAGGCTGCCAAGGACGATGATAATGTACATTTAATATGGCTTTAAAATTTTCAAGGAGTACTTAAACATACCTAGGTGAATCTCCACGGTAAAACATCACATTACACTAGAAGCATTATAAAATATGTCTGCTGCTTGTGATCTGTTGTAAGTTGTTATGGGGCACATACAAATCTTTGAAGAGATATCTGAGGCTGATTTTAGTTTAATGTGTGCTGTATTGTTGCTTGGGAGTGTACAGTATGGAAACGGGGGCATCAAGACATAATAGGTCTGATGTGTTGCAGGAGTGCAGCAAGGGTAATTTTATTTGACTCACTGGAATTAAGTAGAGGTGAAGGTTGGAGGATTTTTTTCACATGAGAGACTCCATATTATTTTCAATATACAATTTTAAATAACTTCTGATGCTGAGGAAACAAGAATTGATTACTCAGTTTTCCTTTGAAAATGCACTTATATTAGGACTGTGTTCATTTCAATGATGTTTCTTTAGGAAAAAGCTGAAGAAATTAATTTATGCTTACAAAAATGTCAATAATATATTTGAATAGGTAAAAAAAAATTGGTTTCAGCTTTGTGAATTTACTGACTTTAATTCTAGCAATTTTATTTATCTTAAGTTTAACATGTCTTTATTCTTGTATAATGTTAATTTTTGGCAAAATATATCGGCATTATAAAATTATTAAATTTGTAGGATAATGACAATTTTTTTGCGCATATGCAAAAAATGATGAGATTTGACTGTACTCTGGATGTAAAATGCATTTCAACATGCTGGACTTTCCTTTCAGAAAAAAAATCCTGGTTTACTTTCGTCTCTGCTGCCTCATATTGTTTTAGTATAGTATTGATTTTTTTTTCATTTAAAGAGAGGTGTATGTGAAGATCCTTACGACAATTTTGATCCTGCACACAACTTCTTTGAAATAATTATTAATATTAGAAGGAAATGTTGCACAAGGACTTTTCTCAGTGAAGATTCAAGGGCTGACTGAGGCTGCCGTTTGGCATTTGTGATGGGCTGAGCTTGGCCGTACACCCAGGGGCTTGGCAAGCCGTACAACCAAGACTTGACCCCCGTTGTGCATTGAGATGATGACCCCACATGCTCCCTGTCTGTATTTAACAGCAAATATGAGCTTCTCCTCCCCTCATAACAGGAGCAGTAGTAGCTGATGTAAAAGCAGCCCTCTGATCCTTGGACTTCACTGACAGGACAGCCAGAAAGAGAGGCTCAGGGTTTGGCCCACAGCACTTACTCCTTCCTCTACGTAGGGCCATCCTGCCAGGAATGGGGCAACTGGTTCAGCATCCCCCTCTGGTGCTTTTGCTGGTGGGAGAGGCAGTTTTCATCACGTGTCCTGTTTCTTTCTCCCCTCCTGGGGAAGGGAGCACCACTGGATTGCTATGAGTTCTGCCAGGGGGCTCTTCAATTTCCTGTGCCCAGACAGTGGGTGCAGCACATCTTATTTCTCCAAGATTTCGGTACCATTTCTGGTGAGATGGAAATGTCTTTTCCTGTTAGGATATGCCTCATAATTGAATTCATAATTGAACTCAGTATTAAGGTCCAGATCGATAGCCAAAATCATGTGAAATATACAGTGTACGCCTTTAGTACAGTCTGAACTTTGCTCAGTGAAGTGGTCAGTAAATATTGACTGTAATTTGGTAGTGGGAATGAGCAAAGCTCTATTTCAGCCTTACCTCGGGCTTTTGTAAACAGAGACAGCAGCTTCAGCCAGAATTCAGCTACTAATTGGTCATGCTTCCATCTGCACAGGAGCATTAATCATGTGAAAAGCTATTTGCTTTCAGTGCTGCTATCTATGCATTTTTATAAATATCCTCCAAAAATTACTTTTAAAACAACCATCTGGAAGAGGCCCTATATACAAAGATTGCAAGACTTTGTATGGACACATTAGGCTATTTTCCCTCTGAATTAAATGGAATTAATACAGTCAGATATGTTTAGCCGTGGTATAAACTCTGACTTCGGCTTTCAAAACTAAATTCCAATTACATTGAAGGAAACTAAAGTTTTGCCACAAATAACGGCTACAATTAACAGTCTTTTAGAAGTTTTCCAGAGCACGAGACCTACTAAGACATCATTAGTTCACAGGTCATACATTAACTCAGTAAAAACCATGACCTTTTTTGCTGTATTCCTTAAATGAGTTTTGCTAGTTAATAACTTTTTCCTGAAAAGATAGTATAATTCTATATGGATCGAAACAAATACGTAGTCTATTTATGGGGTGAATTTAGTATCTTGCTGTTGAAAATAGATTGCTCAAATATTCTTGAGTATTTGTTTGCTGCTGGATTGAGGTATCTGAATTAGATTGATTGCCCTTTTTTTTTCTTCTGATGTCATAAATTCTGTAATATTAAAAATTAGACACTTGGATATAGCAGGATAGAAACTTAATGTTGCAAAAACAGGGAGACTTTTTTTTTTTGTTGTTTAAATATGGTATAGAGCTTAGAAAGCTTTCAGGAAAATATTTTCCTTGATGAGTTATGGCTTTTCCCTACCATCAGAATACTTTCTGACTACAGGTGAATTTTTAATAAGGTATCATTCAGGGATGGAGAACTGTTGAGTGATTCACTTTAACTCAAACACCATCACCTGTGGTGATGCTGAAGGCTGGGCTTGGTGGGCATGCTCCTACAGAGCTTCATCAGCAAATGTGGCTGGGAAGAGAAGGCTGTGGCACCATTCAAGGGGCTGTCTCACAGCAGTGAATCATATGCTTTCTGTTTCCAGGCCCTCATTATTAAATCCACAGTTCGCTCTCAGGGGTTTGAAAACTTCACTCCCAACACAATTTTGGAAAATCTGCGTTGCACAGAAAGATGTATTTGGTAAATTGTTTGCAACAGGCTTTGTAACAGCTCCTCTCTTTAACATAATCAACATACTGGGTGAAATTTGGTCCAGCTCCTACTCTTAAATATGTGCTTTTTTCAATGGTAAAGTTGGACTGTGTAGTAGTCATTCTTTTCAAAAGATGCGTTTTACAGAAGGGATATCTGAAGAGATAACTCTTAGGTTGAACAGTCAGTAAAAGCTTAAGGGACTATAATTACTGTACATTTAAGATGTAGTTTATTTTGCAGTTTGTGAGCTGAAATCGCCTTCAATGAGTGACTTTCTGTGGGGCCTAGAAAACTCTGGCTGGCTGAAGCATATCAAAGCCATTATGGATGCTGGCATTTTCATTGCAAAGGTAAAGTGTGTAAAATGAGCACAAAACTTGGACTAACCAGATACAAAGTGAGGACTAAATTCTCTGCTTGTGGATAACTTCTGTTACCTTCAGTGATGTTGTATCTGAAAAAGCAGTGATGATGTTATCTTAGGTGCTGCTGTGTGGACACTTTGCTAATATGGTACAAAAAGTTTGTGTTCTTTTCATTAAGAATTCAAATGTACTAAAGCTTCTACTAGCCTCTATCTTGTTACACCAGGTATTTGAATGTCCTTACTTGACTCACCAGCAGTGACTGTCACTCTTTCTTTCCTTTTTTTCCTATTTCCTCTGCCTCCTCCACTGGTTTCTGGACATTTTCTTTGTTGAAGGTTTCTGTTCTAGGACTACTTCTTTGCATGGTAGTTTTAATATAGGAATATTAGCTACTCTGAGTTATCACCTCTGCGTTATTTAGCAATCAACTAAACTGTTTAGCAAACTCCTAAACCAACTCCTGTGTATTACCATGGCCAAACTCTCTAGCAGCTTCTACTCTTACATACTTGAGAACTGTTTCAGAAAATAGTTGTTGGTTTTGATAAGAAATTATTTCTCCTAATCCCACCCAAAGTAATGCAGATATTTGTCATCTACCAACAGTAGTTTTAATTTTATTATCCTCTTCCTTGTGCTCTGCTTTTTACTGTTTCAATTCTTACTTTTGAGATTACTATCACAATTTCTTATAGGCCATTTTATTCATATGACCTGCTACAGATGACTGTATGGATAAAACCTCACGTTTCCCTCCTCAGTAACTGCTTGTTTCTCTTGCTTCTTCCTGCTCAGCAGAGAACTGTAGTTTCTTACCTGAACGGCAGCTGCAGGATAAATGCACATGTTATTACTTCTCCCAGACCTATTAGCTTTCACCAGCTTATAGAAATCAGGTCATTTACATTAGCTCTTGCCAACTTTTCCCCAGTGGCTTGTCTTAAAATTTATCCTTTGTCCGTATGCTTGCTAGCCTTAGACATGCATTTTGACCCATTCTCATTTGTACAGTGCCCAGTTCTCAGTTGTTGGTCTCCTGCCCACAGGGATTCTATTTTGGTAGAATTTACTTGTCTCTTGAGATAAACATAGCTAATTTATTATTATTCCTTGTTCCCTATTAAGACCAAACTTAACTTAAATGTTTGTTTTTCTAAGCAGTATCTTTCCTAACCGATTTTATTTCTCTGTTTTCTAAATGTAGTTCTCTTTAGAAAAGACAAAGGTCAAAACCCTTAGAATTTAAAAAAAATCCCTCCAGTTCCAAAAATAATGCAACACTAAGCTTCAGAGAACTTAGTATGATCTCTTCTTTATGTGTTATGTATAAAATGGAATCCTCTCTCGCCAGTTATTTACATTAAAGATACTGATACAATCTTGCTTATTAGATATGGAAGTTTACCACTACCACAGGCTTCCCCACAAACCTTTAGCAGTATGTCATCAGTGTGCAGTGCAGTGTGCTGTAATAATATCCATGCTAGCACTGGTATCAGAAGCAGACATTGCCATTAATGACATTACCATCAAGATGAGAAGTTAACGGCCATATTGCAAGTATGGCTGTTCTCTCGCTGTTACGTGAGTCAGAGCATTAACTACATCTCAATGTGCTTTAGGTAGTCGTCCGCTCTGACAGATTGATGGTTTTTAACTGAAATGGATCCCACGTTGTCTTGTAGTGGAGCATAAACAGGTGACACTGCATCCACCACATTGCATGGGATGGGATGAGATTAAAACTTCTCAAATGAGAGGAATAGCACTCAACATAATTCAAGAACTCTGTGGCAGAATAAAAAATGAACAAGTTTTTCCAGTCCCCAAATGAATACTCTCCCTACTACGCTGTCCCACTGTTCCTCTCTTACCACTGCCTTTCTCCCTGCTTGTGAAATTTCTGACTTTTTCTGTATCCTTAGGCTGTGGCTGAGGAAGGTGTGAGTGTGCTTGTTCACTGCTCTGATGGCTGGGATAGGACAGCCCAGGTTTGCTCTGTAGCAAGCCTTCTATTGGATCCATATTACAGAACTATGAAGGGATTCATGGTAAGCAGGTTCTTTTCACAGAGTAAATAAAGTATTATGGCATCATTTAAGATTAGTCCTTTTGTTTTAACAGAAAATAAACTTTCTTTAAATATCTTTTTCTTTTCTTTTTTTTTTTTTTTTAAGGAGGAAGGAAGGTTTTTATTTGTCCAAGTTACAGTCTCCCAGTTTCTGTCTGAAATGTTATCAAAGGTGGAGATCAGTTGGGCACCCATTATTTTTTTTTCCTAACCTTGTCCAAGAAACTTTCTCACAGCCCAAGGAGCTGCAAGTGCAAGCAATAATTTGTATTCATTTTCAGGGGTCAGTGAAGTTTTGAGTGCCAAAAGCATGCGCTCCCTAGAGATTAGATTGCAATGTTTTTTCTGTTGGAAAACCTTTGCCAAGCAGATCAGCACTGGTAAAGCATCTAGGAATGCTTCTCAAGTTACTGGTCACAAGTTAAAAAGATGTTTGAGACATTTTTAGGTTCTATTTTATAAAATGATGAATCAAATTAATTGAAGTTGTGCCAAAATACCAGCATTCTATCTCCATCCATGAAGAGCACTGCTTTCCCTTGAGCTGGCAGCAGTGCTCAGCGGTCATTATTTTTCTGCTTAGTCTAAAAATTATCTGGGATTCTAACACCACTTGCTTACGTCATATTTGCTTGTCACTTTTCTGCTTATTCTAAGAAATAACTGGGATTCCAATACTGCTTGTTTACACCACTCTTCTGCCTGCTTTAACATATGTCAGCTCTGCTCCACAAGACTGAATGCAATATTCTCATTTTAGGTGTTAATTGAAAAAGACTGGGTTTCCTTTGGTCACAAATTTAACCACAGGTAAGGTGGTGCTAAAGTTTTTCTACATATATTTGCATGTAGTCAGCATCTGCTGCCATTCCAATTTTACTTCCTTGTTGCCTTACAAAACGAATCAACAGAATGCCCTCAGGAAACTGCTGCACCACTTTCTCCTACTATATAATTTAGCTGCCTGGAAAAACCAAAGTGAAATATTTTCATATCAGTCTTGTCTTATATATGCACTTCAGGGCTGCTATTGGGAATCCTGAGTGCTGGTCTCACAGTTGCTACAAGCATTGAGAGATCCATGTGAGAGAAAAGCAGTATGTATGGGGCTTGCAAAATCCCTTTGGGCTCCAGCAGGTCTTCCAGTAGTGCCAGGACTCCCTCTGTTCAGCAAAGCCCACATCTTCCAGGACAGTACTTAATCTTAGGCATGTCTGCAAGTTATCTATTCCATAAAGTATACTCCTCCTGTAACAGTCTGTTCTACCAAAAACTGTAGGATTTGTTCAGAAGTGTCAACTAAAGTGAAGTGGAAAGTCACCTATTTGGACAAGTTATTTTGGACATCCATTATGTAAATGCTACAGTGTAAGGAAAATGTTTGAAGACTTTATATATTTAAACATGTTTTCTTTCTTTCTTGTATTTCCTTTTAGTTTCTGTAAAAATAAAAAATGCAATTTTTATATTGGACTTTAATTACATTATAGTGCCTGATTTGAATATAAATTTGTTCTAGTTTCAAAAAACACAGTAAAGCTTTCAGGAAATCAGTGCAGCTCCATAACACCTGTGAAATTCCAGTAGGAATTACTACATTTAATATGATGCTGTTAGATGTCCATTTTTATTAGTGGCAAAAGATAATATGAAATGTAATCACCACTGATAGCTTTGGTTTGCAGTACAATGGTGCTATATTTTCTTTGATCCATAATAATACAATTAGAAGTTTCAATTTTAGATGTTTATGGAATTCCACTCTATTGGCATATATATATACACACTCGACAAGAAGAATAATTGCCTGAAAATGCTTCTTCCTATTAAGTAGCCTTATAAAATATTTTTTACTTCTAAGTATTTTATATTTTCAGGCTCCTTTTTTTTCATTGCAAGTGGTTCCAATACATTTTTATAGACACCAAGTTTGATGTTCACATGACAGTTACATGAGCATGTAAACATTTCCCACTTTCTAAATATTTCACCAAGAGAGGGCAGCTTTAAACTGTTTTCTGCCAAGGTTATTCTGCTCCTCTTCTGCTCAGTTCTCTGTTTTGGGGAATGGTCTGCCATTAAGTGACTGTCTAAGATACATTTTTGTCATTAAGTCATTGCAGTCATTCTTATGATGACATATGTTACTGTGGTATAACTTTATATTAATAGTATTAAAACATGGCTATGCAGCAGCCAGCTCTTAGTAGCCGTAAGGCAACAAGACACCTGTGAAAGTTTTTTTTGTTTGTATTTGATAAATTCTGCCCTCATTCTACCCTGTGAATCTTGCATCATTTTTGTAAGTAAAAAAATATACTAGTAGTTGAGAAGTGAATGCCTATGATGTAACTTGCACACTAAAAGCAAGTGGTTTGTTTTCATTAGTGTTAACTCAGTTTTCATAGAGGATTTCAGGTTATAATTGAACATATCTTGTCTTGTTTCAGGTATGGCAATTTAGATGGAGATCCGAAGGAGATATCCCCTGTTATTGACCAGTTCATCGAGTGTGTTTGGCAATTAATGGAACAGTTTCCTTGTGCCTTTGAATTCAATGAGAGATTCCTCATCCACATACAGCATCATATCTATTCTTGCCAGTTTGGGAATTTCCTGTGTAACAGCCAGAAAGAGAGACGAGAACTGAAGTATGAAAGTCTTTTCTTTAGTGGCATATTTACGTGTGGGGTCTGTGGCTGGTGGTGGATTGAAGAGTCAGACATTTGCCAGTCTACACATAGGTCCTTTCATAAGGCATGGGGTGCAGTGTAGATTTCTTGGCTGTCATCTTCTGGCAACATAGATTAATACCAAAAAAAGTTGATCCTCTGCAATGTGGCTCTGCTGGGAGTGTAATCCACGGTGTGCGTGACAGGGATTAGTGAAAACTGACAAGAGCATTAGCCCTTCAGCCGCGTGGCCCTACCTTTATTGCAGCATTAACAACACACAAGGCAAGCTGTCACTGGAGCTCTAATACAAGATGATATTCACTCTAGTTAAGTTCTCAGTTTAAGAGTCACTGCTCTTCTGTTTTAAGCTGTCTTTGGCTCTCATGTCAGGACACTTTAGTCTTGATCTCTCGGCCACTTTCTTACAAAGAGCCTTTTTGTCTGGTAGCCCTCCCTAGGACTGAGCCAGCAAATTATCCTTCTGCTGTCTGGCCCCAAAGCAATTATGAATTAATCTACCCGCTCTCAGGCCCAAACAGAGACAATAATACCATTCCTGGCAGTGCTTTTACATCTGGGGATCCCTTTGGTGTAGAGACTGGTCTGAAAGCTAAGTTTATGGAAGCGATCCTCTCCATCTCACAAAGGAACCCATCTCTCCACCTTCTCTCTCCAGCTGCTCTGGCTTTATGGGAAATGGATTTGGTTTTGCCTTTAGTGACCAAAGGAATATTAGTCTGTTTTTCTGTATTTATAACTTAAGTCTAGTTCTGTTAAGGAAGTATAAAGCTGATTGTAACTGAGTACTACAGAGCACTAGAATGTTGCATCTAAGCTTTAGCTATACCTGAAGTTGAGTAGAGACTTTAATTTTTTTTTTTTTTTCCAGAATCCAAGAACGAACGTACTCATTGTGGGCTCACTTGTGGAAAAATCGTGCCGATTACCTGAACCCTTTGTACAGATCAGACCATAGTCAAACCCAAGGGACCCTGCACCCACAGATGGCTCCATGCAACTTCTTGTACAAGTGGGTAGATCACTTGCTACGGAGAATTGTAGGATGTGCCTTTGTTTTTAAGTATTTCTCGTTCCATAAGGCAGCTTATAGAGTAAATTCAGTCTCAGATGCAATGTGTTCATTTCTTGTGTGCTCAGTCAGCCAACACCTCTGCACCATTCCCCAAAGGAGTATTAGTCTGAAAAGAAGCTTAAGATTAAAGCTATATTGATAGTTGTGTGTCCTAATTTCATGGTTACTCACTTCTTCCACTGAGAAATGTCTCTTTCAGTACATTCTTGTCTGTGGTTTCTAAATTTAAAGTTGCTTCACCTGCTTTTCCTGATGCTTGTTTGGGTCAATTGGTGTCAAAACCAAAAAGGGACATTTCAAGAAATCATATGGCTTCATTGCTAAAACAAGTGTTTAGTAAAAAAAAAAAAGCAGTCTTTCCCCATGTTGTTATACCTTGAAGTATACACAGTAAGTTTTACTTGATGTTTAAGTTTTTTTCAAAATGTAACACACTCTTAATTTCAGAAATGTTACTATTGACATTCTGGCTTGTGTAATTAATTGTGCCATTAATCTTAACAAACTTAAGGGGAACTTGAATAGAAATTCATGAAAACTGTGTTTGAAGTAAAGCTGATCAGTTTGTTTTCCCATTGCAAGTAAAAGCAACTGTTAAAAAGCCAACAAATATCCTAAATGACAGAAATTGAATTCTTTCACATCTACTATTCCAGGTCACATCCACTTTAAAACATTTTAAAAATAGTCATTAATAGTATTCTTTAGGATAGCGGGATTTATAAAAGAATTACTGATACTGCAGATCCTCCATTGGATGAGTAATCCTGTTGATTTTAATGGAATTACTTGGGTGCGTAAAGATTTCCAAGCATGAGCTATCAGATGATAAACTTGAGGGGGAACGTGACTTAAATAGTATGCTACTGGGGTAGGAATAATAAACCACCAAGGGGCAAGCACACGCTCTGAAAATAACTGTTGTCTACTTGGCTGGACAGCCGCAGCTGAGGGCAGGACTCTTGGTTACTTAACCTGTCTGGTGAACTAGTTATACACTCAGAGTCTGGCTGCGGCCATGTATTGCCAGGAAGACAGAAGACAGGAGGATTGCTAGAGTGAGTACGGACTTACAGTTCGAGACCTTTCCTCCTGAAAATGAAAAATCAACTCAGCTGTTTAACTAAAGGTTTGTCAAATAATTCCACAGGACAGGAAGAGAACTTGCCAACATACGAGCTTCTTGCAATTTCCATAGGGCGGTTTAAAATCTCAGTTCAAATTTTAAGAGATCAGGGTGCCATACTTTTTACCCCTGATTTTTAACTCTTCTTCACAGGGCAAAAAAGCCTGTTAACTAGCTGCACCTCACACCCCCGCCCTAGACAAAAACAAGCATACAGCATTTCAAAGCTGACTTCATGGGAAGTTGAGAACTAGCGTTACGAAAAACTGTCCTTAACCTTGCCTGCTCTAAAGCCCAGAGTGCAAACAAGGAAAAAAATACAGCAAAAGTTTACGTTTAGTGAGCCACCCTCAGCCGTGTGATCTAAGTCAAAGGTACATTCACCTTTCTTTCTGTTGTGCAGCAGAACAAGGTTCAAGTTGTGTATGTCCACAGAACTGTATCTTCAGGACAGAGCCAATGCAAATGAACCATAAATATTACCAAATATTCAGTGAATTTATGTGTATGCACTCTAATGATGAATAATCCACGGACGGATCATTTAGGACATGTGTCTGAAAAAAAAAAGTGTGTACTTAAGTGTCCTGAGGCCACCTCACCAAATGAGAAAATTGCTGACCTTCCCATCAATTCCAGGTTCTGGAGCGGTATGTACAACCGCTTTGAAAAGGGGCTGCATCCTCGACAGTCAGTTACTGATTATCTGATGGCAGTGAAGGAAGAAACTCAGCAGCTGGAAGAAGAGCTGGAGGTCTTAGGAGAGGTAATAAATGCTTGAGCTCAATGCCCCAGACTTAACTGATGGCAAATGAAACCCAACTCCATACGCTGCGGAGTCCTCTACATGCTACATCCTCTTCTGGCATGAGGATGTTCGGCTGCCATCTTTGTTCTCACATAAATTACTATGAATGTTTTGCATTTAAGACACAACAGTGGACTTTTTTTCTTTAGGGATAAAATTTCACCTGTGTTGATGCACAAATACTACTCCTGAAAGAAATTTTATATCATTCTGCAACTCAGGAGCATATAATTCAGCACTGGTTTGTGATAAATTGTGCACTTCTCATACTCCATAAATGCAAACAGGCAGTTTTAAAGGGTGTCATTTGGGTTGGGCTCTGAGCCTAGTTTCTTTACATTTTTTTTTTTTTTTTATAAAAGGCAAAGACACCCAAGAGGATTATTGGCCCTAAATGCCTCCATGTAATACATACCGTTTCCTTTATTTCAGAGATTGGCAAATCTTCAGAAATCACAACTGAATGACAATAAAATCAAGAGTAAGCCACAAGACCGAAGCAAACAGTTAGGGCTTTCTCCTTCCAACAACAGCTTAGCTAACACTCCCCAGGAGTACAGCAATGATCTGAAATCATTCCCATCCCGGAGCCCTTCCCAAGGGGATGAAGAAGATTCAGCCCTGATTTTGACACAGGACAACCTGAAAAGCTCTGATCCTGACCTCTCGGCTAACAGTGATCAGGAGTCTGGTGTAGAGGACTTAAGCTGTAGGTCCCCAAGTGGGGGTGGCTGCTTGCCTAGTGAAGACAGTGGCAAGGATTCAGATGAGGCTGTATTTATGGCAGTCTGAAATACCTTCGCAAAAGCAAGCATCCAGGTGAAGTTGAGCCTTTCACAGTCTGGAATGACATCTTTTCATCAGGTGAAGAATGGGAGTGGTCTGTGGCCTAAAGAAATAATCCAAAGAAAGGGAACTGTGCAATTTTGTAAGTAAAGATCTAAGCAGAACAAGACATTATTAGTTTTAAGACATAACGCTAAAGAAAGGTAGTATCTGCTATTCTATTTAGTTAAGCCAATGTGATATTTGTTTTAACTCTATCAATGCTGTACATAATTATTCCTTACTTTGTACATTTCCATAATTACTTATTGTACAAAATAATAGTTCTTCTCCAAAGACGTGAAATTCTGAAGTACTCTCTAGGGACAAGGCTGAAGATTCATTAGTGCTAGCCTTACTGGTGAATCAGTCAAAACTTATTTTTGTAGAGCTCTTTTGCCTTCAGACTTATTGTGTATATTCTTCACTTTTTTTTTTTCATGGGAGGTGTTAAATTCTGAATTCCAACCATTATTTAGCATATTCTCCTACTAGAATCCTTTACAGTTAAGTAAAACTAATAAATGGACATGCTTGCTTAGGGGACAAATGAAGCTTTGATCCTGCAAATATATCCTTCAGTAAGCAGCTGCTGCTGCAGCAGGTGAATGTATCCCATTTGTACTCAACTCTCAACCTGCATTGAAAGTTCAGTAGTTTCTATGAGCAAAACTTCAAGGAATATAACAATACTCACACAGCTTTTGTGGTAAAGCACCCCTTTACAATGAAAGGTACGATAGGCAGTATACTCTAGCCTATGTTTTGTTCTCAGGTTTGGTTGTTTGCATCTTACCCGTGTGTTCCAAACCACCTACATAAGATATAAAGGTAAAATTTTAAGGTCATAAACCCCCCAAGTTTTCCAGCCTATTTAAATGCCTACTAGAAAATATTTTATTTGAGTGGGAGTGGTACATATACGGAGAGAATTGGGAATCCAAAATCACTTACAAAAATCACTTACGAAAGCATCACTCCAAATTCAAAATTAAAGGAAGGTTATAAAGGAACTGTTATAAGGAATATTTCTTCCAAATTGTATTGTTCAAAATAAACTAACCACAACAAAGCATTTTTTTTTTATCTTCACATAAAATTTCCCTTTTAGCATTTGCCAACCTGAACAGAGCATGGCAATGATAACTTACGAAAAAGACTGATTGCCCACAACAGAAAGTTTAATCTTGTTTGGTTTAAGAACATTCATCGTTTTTAAGAGTAGGAATAATAGCTTTCATAATCATAGGTAGAGAAGTAAACCACTGACAAATGTTTAAAATTTGGGATGATTTGAAACTCACTAAACAGGCTTCTGTATCAGGATAATTCTTCCAGGTTTTTTTGGTTGGTTTGTTGTTTGTTTTTTTTTCATTCAAGCAAGCGGTTAAAAGTATAATTCATATGGCTGCTCTTACCTGCTTGGAGACAATGTAGTATTGAACTCCAGTAAAGCAAAACTGTAGTAATGTAAAGTTTACTTTGATTGCATTTCATACTATTCCTTCAAATACAGACTTACGGGCCAAATTAAATTATATAAACATACCTCAATTTAGAAGCTTTAGATTTTATTATTCAGTCTGCTTTTATGGAATGGCTTTTCATTCTGCTCTATGAACTTATGTTATTAAAAATAAATAGGTAAACTTCAGGATTATTAATATCCTCTTAAGGGAGCTGCTGTCTTTGAACAAATAATTCAATTCTTAACAGCAAGATTTATCTTGATGTTATACTGGAAAGGCCAGATCCTCAATTTGATAAATCACTGTAGCTCAACTGAAAAAAATAAAGCTATAATTTATACTCCGTTGAGAATCTAGCCTTCTGGTTTTTAATCTTTATGATTTTTTAATAAAATAAAGCCCTGATTTTAATTGTACTTTTAAAAACGTTTCATATTTTGAACATAGCCTTCTATGGTATTACAGATTTTTAATGGGTTTTCTCAAACTAAAGAAACATGCTGCCAAGTCAGCAATGAAAACAAAACACACAAACATTCTGCCTAAAAATGAGTTTGAAAATCGGCAACATTATTGCACATCTTTAAAATGTAAAATCATGTATGATGGTATTGTGTCCTATTAGACATGTCTAGAAATAAATGCAGAACAGCAATATATGCAAATTCAAAGCACTGTTTTCATGTCGCTTATGCAACTCCTTGTAACTAGCTTTACAGCTAAAGTATTAACAAATTACCATTTTATATTAAGCCTTTACTTAACAGTCCTCTGTGATGTGTCTTTCAGTCACTTGAATTTTGCATTAGCTACTACCATTTGCATTGTAACACGTGTATTTGTGGCATTATTAGACTGCTGAGAAACACTTCCAAATAAACACTTAGGTCATCTAGTGTTATGTTATTTCACACCAGTGAATGAAACAAAAGTTTCCTTTCCCAGTTTTTGTAATAAGAGTTCTTCATTTAGTCCAGAGTCACTTGTCACTGAGATCAAGGGATTTTTCTATCTTCCGTACTTGGATACTTGAATCCAGTAGTTTGAGCTGTGGAGGAATCTAGAACTGGTAACTAAGAAAACTGAGGCTCCTGCCAATCGAGTTAAGTATACGGGAGTGTGTTACGTTCCAGCATTTATTTTTTTTGGGGGGAATGCAAAACAAAAAGGATGAGAAAACTACACTATGAACTACATTGGTTCTTTGTGCGGATCGCCCCTGTGCTGCAAATTCTTGCAAATTTGGCAGAAGCGCACTTTAATTTGAAATAAGACACACATGAATGTAACTAAACTGCTAGAAAGAAAGGATTAAAAGAGCATTATAGATTTCTGCGGTGTAATTTTAGCCTCACTAGGTTCATGCTGTTCTCTAGCATGAAAATGTGCACCTAAAGGACACTGAAGGCAATAGGCTCAAACAGCTGAAGTTTTCTCTACAAAAGATCACCATCTGAAGAACAGAAAGAAAACATATTCACTAACTGCTTTTATTGGTAGCTCTATACAAGATATAGACAAAGGTAAAGACTGGTAAGAGATTCTGAAAAGCTGAGAAATAAAATTAAGAAGTTGGAGGGCACAACTCAGACTGAAAGTTATCATTAGAAGTAATGAGAGAAAAAGAAAAACTAGGTAAAAGGAGGGAGGCAGGGAAGGAAAGCTCTCTGCAGGGAGTCACATTCTTTGAAGACAGGGGCAAGCCAGAGCACCAATTTACACAGCATGAAAGAGGTTGGATGATACAAACAATTAAACCCCAGCAACAACAAAGAGGTAGCCTTTGCAATGAAGATAGGCATCTCAGCACTGTTGGCCAGGTAACTTGATGCTTTTATGTAGACACTGCCCTGATCTGCACATGGAGTCCTCAAGTTTATCACAAACATCTCAGTTGAGGCAATGGGCTGCTTCTGCACATAGGCTGAAGGTTGAGTGCAGCTTTTAGATTGGCTCGTCACCCTTACACACTGTAGTGCAGAGACCAGTAAACACCACAGTCACTGAAAAGTCCTCTAGGGTCAGGTTAAGTCACCGACAATTCATTTGGGAAGTGAGGAACGTGTGGTGGGGCAAGTTAAGAGTAGGTCAACTTACTGCAGTACTAAGGCTAGTGAAGAGATCTAGGGCCAAGTGTAAAGCAAACCCCCAATTCAGAGAGGCCAGAAACATTGCCAGAGTGTGGAGTGATGAGAAGGGAAGGTAAAATAACTAAAAAATTCAGTGATCTTTTAATATAAATCATTCTGAAAATAAGCTAATGAAACATCATAGGTCCACCAGAATTGCTGTGACTGAATTCAGGCAAGCACTCATTTTTAAGTCTGCTGTTTGCCAAGGTTATTCAGATTAATTTATTCTGTTTCCGAAGAGTAAAGAGCACAGTTCTTTATGTTAAGGTGTTCCCCTATTATTGATCCACAAGCTTTCTTTGTAGCTTATTACTACATATAAATTTAATCTCTACAAGTATCTGACCAAAACAAGGCATTTACAGAAGCAGTAGCCAAAGATGCAACATGGGTTTTCAAAGCCCATTTTCGTAGTGAAGGTGGCCCCAAGAATTACTGCTGCTGCTGAAAGGGTGAAACAGAAAAAGCTCAAATCACTACACACAAAGAAAGATTAACAGTTTGTCCTTGAGTAGCTTACTGCATCTGTTTCCAACACAATTCTGTATCCACCCAAAGTCCTGCAATGCCCAACTCAATCTGTAAGTTAGACAATTACAAGATAGATTAAAAATCCCAAAGCCTTTATTTTTGAGTTTAATACATTAAAGTATTTGCTGTTCAGAATAATGTACACAATAAGGCTGCGATAAGCAACTCAACTTTGTTGCCGGAGTTTTAATTCAGTTTTACCTGAAGGTCTCTTAAATCTCTCTTTCAGAAAGATTTATCCTAGTCTTTGAAGGGAGCAGTAACAATGTGGACAGAAACAAGACTAAAAGATTTCTAACTTTTGTATTTAGTCAAGGTCCAAAGCGGCAAAGCTGCGGGAGGATGTACAGAGCAAACAACAGAACTATAGTGGATCACTAGATACTGCTTACAACTAACTTTGTCACAGTCTCTTGCTTGTAGTGGTGCCTAGCATAGCTGTACGTAGCTGACAAACCTTGTCTTTCAGAAAGGTTAGCATGTCAAATGCACTGTGAAATCTCAGAAAACTTTCTTCCATAAGCCCCAGCAGAACGTACCATTAACACCAGTTGCATGCAAGATCACCCTAAAATGAAACCTACCTGATTTCAGCCTTAGATTTTAAAATTTCTCTGGTCTGCAATAGCATCAGTTACAATGCCTATACGGAGAGCTCAGTTCTGGATTTAAGAAGTCACTTGACTCAGGGAGGAATAAGAGGCCTAAACTCAGCTATAGAATACATTTAGCACTTCAGACCAGATATTAGGCAAAACCCAGACTCAATTAGCAGTTACAACACAGAATGTACCTTCACCCCCACCCCAAACTACTGCAACACCAGAGACAAGCCATGTCCTTACTCTTGTATTTTTTTTGCTCATTTATTTCACTGTTCCACTTGGCAGAACACCTCAGCATGAGCATGACATAGTGCACAGCTCTCCAGAAAGGAGTCACTGTATGTAGCCTATTATGCCAGATTGCTTAAGAGTTCACTTGACACATTTCAAAGGATTTTAGAATATGTATCTAACAGCAGCTGCCATTCTCTTACATTTCATAGGGAATTGTTTAAAGCTGGATTTACAACTACACGCCATATTTTGGCAAAATAAGGTAAGGAAGGTGTTTAACAGTGAATTACCAGCGTGCTACAAGCCAAAAAAACCTAACTAACTCTGACAGAGTGTAATCAGTGTTCTACTAAGTCCTCTGGTGAATATGGAGATTACCTATAAGGAAAAATGTTCCCATTGGCACAACCAGTGTAGGACAAAAATTAAAAAACCACCACACACACCACCAGCAGGTTGGCTTGGCCTTTAAAGGCCAGAAACAGGCTGGTCATCCCTGCATGAGAGAGGACACCTCTAGCTAACCCAGTACACCATTGTTGGATGGGTTTGCGACTGCAGAAGGGGCTAAAAAATACGGGGAAAAAAAATCCTAATAGGAACAACGGTACCAGAGAACGGAAAGGGAGAAAAGAGAAGACCTCAAACTTTCATAGCCCTGAACAAGAAACACTGTACTAAGAACTTGCATTGAACAGTGACATTTTCTTCTAGACTCTCCTCCACTACCATCAGAAGGACTCCACGGAGAAGTCCTGAATTTGTACACTCACTCACACAAGTAACATAAGAGGAAAAGCTCAAGGGTTGAGAACTTGTACTAGTTTAGGAAGCAAATCCCCTGAAGGTGACCTGGCTAGTGAGTTGTCACAGTAGAGCACCATAATACAGCACATAACATTCAACAGGAGGAGGCAGATGAGTACAAAAGTCTGGCATTCCATCCCATCATAAAATGTATAGAGAAGATACTAACCCAACTCAGGAAGAGCACCAAATGTTTGACCATCTCTTCCTTTCCCTGTTTACAAGGAAGAAACAACCACAAAAAACCCAGCCCTGTACAGAATTGTGTCTAGTCTTTAAGATTGTTAACTAGATACACAGCAAAAGATCCAAACCAACTTGGGACACTCAGCACAAAAATAGATGGAGTTTGCCAAGAAGGTAACAGTGATGACTTAGATTTTCTAACTCTTCTCCAGAGCTGCAGAAATTGCACTACTCAGAGACCTAAGTCCAGAACCACTTGGAAACCTATGCAATCTCATTTTTAATTAGGCCTTTTGTTAGCATATTAGCAGAAGTGTAAAGTCAATATACAAGCAGTATTATGCACAGTCGGTAGAAATGTTTTTTTGAAAGATACTCTAAAATAATTGCTTAACCATGGCACTTACAACCTGTTTATTTTTTCAGGCACCTGAGTATCATCTTTGATTTGGACCGTAGTCGTATTTTCTTGGGAGACCTAATCTCAAAATTTGGACCAGCTTTACAAAGAAAAATCCCATCAAATACCAGTGAATAGTTTACTCACCCTGAAAGGAAGTATCTTAAGGCAGACAACCAAAGTACTGCGAAGTAGGAGAGGGCTGAGACTAAAGTCCAGTTTGAAGATTCATTAGCATGTGGAACAGACTTTTTGCACTTATGTGGTTTTCATAACCCCAGATTTACTCACTTTTCTCCAGTTCAGAATATCGCACTTTGCTAGAAGAGCGCAGAGTTTAGGACTGACTGAAGATTAGCGATACAGGAAAGTACTCACTTGGACTGACGTGCTTTAGTTTCAGACTCGAACCTGTGATGTTCTGTGACCCTATCTAGGTAATACAGAGGCAGTGGCTTGGCTAAGAGGTTTATCTCCAGACTGCTTCCCAGCTAGAAAAAAGCAGGATTCCCAATACATTACTTAATCAGTGCTTTATCTTATTTACCTCTTGGCACTGTACAATTCCTTCTGTTCTTCTGGAACCCAACTGTCTCCATGAAAACCTAATGCAGTGGCAAGGTTCAGAAAAACAATGTGTCTTTTCCCAAGAGAGAACATAGGTGCATGTATTTAGGGGTTTATTTTTCTCCTATAGAATACCGCACTTGGTCCTCTCCATTCCCACTAGAGATACCCCCATCCTAAAAAAAAAAGTCAGCTCATCAGAGGCAAGATTCAGTGATTCAAGCGCAGAATTAAGTCTCACTTCCAAATTCTATCACTGGCCTTAACATAACACATTATGCAACTCTAGCCAAATTAGTTTCTTTGTTTCTTAAAATTAGGAAAAAATAACTGCTATTTCACAAAAGAACTTCAGAACTAGTTTTGTAAAGTGCTTTTGAGTTCCTTATATGATGAGCATATTCATACTGCATAAAACAGAAACTGGGAGATGACCTGATTATTTTTCCTTTAAGTAAAAACAAGTATGAAAATGAAATTGTTAGGTGAAAATTGTGTTTAATTACAGTGGTAGGTACCAAGCCACTCCTGAAATCAAGTGCATCAGTGCTGCTGAGCAACATACCAAATCTATGCAGAGATCATTTACTCTATTTTGATTCCAATATAATTTGTTCCAACACATCTTTTGCTTAATCCAAATCCACTTATCCAAAACACCATACAGGGTACACTTAGTTTTCTATTTTACTTACAAGTAAAAAAACTTGGTTTTAAACATTTTGGCTTTAAGAAAAGACAGCTTGTGAATCCAGTGACAAACTCAAATTATGAACTTCTTCAGTTTCCAAAGTCCTATCACCACTTATCTCAAACTCTTCCACAGATCAAGCCGAATCTATGTTTAAAGTTCAAAATACAAAAGATATGAATTATGTTTTTATAAAAATGTAAAAAGCTAGTCAAAATTACACTTTTAGATATTTAATCTCTGAAGAATGGAGTATAGCAGCAGGAACTTAAATATAATAAGAACTATCAACAATAAATACAAGAAATTAGTGCAAAGATTGCAATAGAAGGATTCTTGAGTACAATGAGAATATAAAGAGACATTCTAATTTATACAAAAACCACCCCAACTCTGTATACAATCTCTTCTATAAATACAACCATATAAGATGAAATGCTTATTTGCAAATAATAGTTATTAAAAAGTGTGCTTTATTGGGTTTTTCACTCGTTCTCTTGGCAGGTGTAGTTTGCAGGAAGTCTGTAAAGACAAATTTCTGTAATTAGATATTTTAACTGCTCCACAAGTTATGTTTTAAATACAACTAACAACAGATGCAGTACATACTTGATTTCCACAGAAAACAATGCTTAGTGTTCTAATAGTGCAACAAATCCATTTGCAGTAAAGCAATTTTTATGTGTGTGACATTGAGGTAAATTGTAAAAATAAAGAAAAAAAAAAGAATTTTGCATAAATACTAAATCAGCAGTTTACCTATAGCGGAGCATGAAATTGGCTGTGCATTGCTATTGCCTGTTGAAGTTTTTCCTCTTTGGCTCGTCTACAGTGGCAGAGCTAGAAAACAAGACATAGGAAGAGTGAATTCTGAAACGAATTTTTTAGAAACCATAAATACAGCAGCAGGCTCTTTAAAAAAGGAAAGTCCTATGAATCTCATTCCTTCCAAGCTTCAGGCTGAACAACTGTCTATATTAATAACATTATTCCACCCACAATTACTTAAGAGAGAAGAGAATTGTTTTCTATGTCATGAAATGTATTTATTTGGCATCTTTAAAGACAGGGACACTACCCAGTAAGCTGCTCTTGTCACAGCATGAGCAAGAACAGTGGTTTTTGAACATCAGTTACACATTGGGTGATGGCCATCCACAGAATAATTAGTTTAATAAATTAAACTTTAAGCTTGCTTAATATAACATGTCATTGTATGTCGACTTAAGAAATTTAAAATTGTCCATGTGACTATCTTCACAGGATATGAAAGACAGTGGCACAAAAATATCTGCAACACCACATGACCAGGGTCTAATGCAGGAGACCTTTGCCCTCTCGCCTTAAAAATTTGTGCCTTCAGAATGCAATTATATTCCAAACAGACTGAAGCTGCTTAGGGATATATTTGTCCTCTGTTGGAGCCTACCAAAGCACTGTTCTGCATCACTGGGCTGCTCAAACTCTAAGTCTTAAATTTATTCACTATGTGTTGTGTATCTCTCAGCTTAGAATGATTTGTGTACTACATACCGTTCTCTTTTCCATGAAACTACTAAGAAAATCATCTATTTCTGTTTTGCCTTCCAAGAAGTCTTCTGCAATAGTGTCGGATTCCTCTTCAGCTTCATGAGCAGCTACTTTAAGTCTGGCTTGCAGAGCACTTGGACTGCAACTCTAAGAAAATAAAAACTCCTATGTAATATTAAACTGTCCACTAAACCTACATTTCCAAGAAGAAAGATAAATGATTATATAAATATGGAATATGTGAATACATCATTATCATTACATAAAAGCCTAAGTGACCAGATGAAGCTTCATCTCCAAGAAACAGCATAGCTTGTTGAACCAGAAAGGGTTCAACGTGATGTTTAGGTCTTGACTCACAATCATTCTCACAAACGTATAAAGCTTTTCAACTTTTACCCTACACTGTAGAAAGCATCCAAGTGGGAAATCTGACACGTTCTCGAGCGCATGATTTCTGAGTAGAACTAGTGTTTCAAGTGTCTTCAATAAATAGGGTCTACTTTTGAAACTCAGTAGTGAACCTGAGAAGCATAAAAAGGTAAAAAAGCACTTACTGTTCAGCTTTTAAATAACCTTGAAATGACGACGGAGAGGAACACAGGAAAAGAAAAAGAAGTACATGGGCTGCTAATCTAAATCAGTATACTCATTCTTCTGTTCTTACAAATCTCAAACCTTATTTCTGTTTACTGCATATAATTTCACTATTTTTCCTCTAAT